TTATAATATTAGTAAGATTATGAATCAGTGTTACATTTATTTCGATTATTGGATTGTGTCTCTAATTTAAAAAAAAATCACTGTTTTAAAGTAATAAATATTCCATTGGAAGCATTTTTTATGCCACTAAGATTTTTACGTACCACAGTAAGCATGAGTCGATGGCTCTTAACATGTTAAATATCACTTATAACTTTCAACTTAAAGTAGCAATAATTTTACATTTAACTCGTATAGTTAATAACGTTCCGTGTTCTCAGATTCCTTTGGCGGATTAAACTCAACAATACTTCGTATTTTTCTATTGTGTGAACAATAAATTCTTAGGAAACTGTAAATAATTGCTAAGCCACCCCATACAATATAAGCATCAAATATAGTAGATATCAAAAACGTTTTTATTTTAAAATAGTTTTAATACATTGCCAAACCTAAAATCGTTTGTTATTAACAATGCTTTGTGTGAAAATGTGTTTCTATACAATTATAGTCTATTAGCTTTCGCCCGAAACTCCATCCGCGTGGATTTAAAAAACAAAAGTAAGTAGCCTATGTGTTCTTCCAAACTGTTCTCTACATCTATACCAAATTTCATCGATATCCGTTCAGCTGTTTAGGCTACAAACTCTAACAAACATCCATCCATCTAAACTTTCGCATTTATAATATTAAAATATGAATATGATTTGCAAGTCAGTATTTTACTGACGGAATTTTTATAAAAATTACCTTATGTTTACGGGTGTAACTGCACTTTTATTCCATGCTGATGACGCAGGCAACAGTTAGTATTATAAGCCCTGAAGATGACCATTTAAAGACTGAGTAAATGTTTTAAGTGAGGTATTTTAGCTTGAAACTGTCACAGTTTAAAGCTAAAATAACGACAGGGTAACATCGGTTAAAAGAATTTTAAAAATTCACCAAACATTTATCCGTACAATGGAATGTTTTTAGAATTTCTTTCTCGAATATTCCAAACAATAGGATGCACGTGGAAATGAATTTTGGACAAACAATGGCCTTGTTAAAATTACAAATGGCCTACACGACATTTACAAACGAATAAAAAATTAAAGAAAAACGATATTTTTACATATTTATGTTTTAAGTATATTCTGTAGCCCTTACTAAACCAATTTTGACAAATAAAGTTTTCGATTAGATTAACATTCTTCCCCCGTATAAGTATAACAAAGGGGTTTTTAAATAAATGGAAAATAATTAAGAACTCAAAAAGAACAACGACACAGATAATAGCTTAATTTGCACTTTGCTATTTGTAAAGTTTTAAAAAATGTTAAGAAGTTTTTTAGTCTATCCGTTTTTTTACATTCCATTCCAAAGTTTTTGACATTCCATTTTTATAATATCCGCGACTCCGTCCGCGTGGATTAAAAATAAACAAAAGTGAGTAGCCTATGTGTTCTTCCAGACTGTCCTCTACATCTATACTAAATTTCATCGATATCCGTTCAGCTGTTTAGGCTACAAACTCTAACAAACATCCATCTATCCATCTAAACTTTCTCAATTATAATAATAAAATTATAGATTACAGATTATAAATGAACTGACACTTCTACGAATAGTTTCTATAAATACCGTTCCAATATTCCCTTTGTTAATTAAATTCATAAGTTATTAAATTTTCCTGTTAAAATAAACTTCAAATTTGAAATACTTTAAACTCCAATTTGCAGTTCAAATATTATGTTTGAAGGGTAAGGAATTTAAACAGATCTGTTCCAATATTAATGAATTGAAATTATTTAATTAAAGTAACAAGTTTTATTTGATACATTTATTATTTTCTTCTATCTGTACTATTATAATAAAGCGTAAACACACACTTCTTTGTTGCCTTAGATGTCAGCAATTACAGCATATTTTTGAATAATTCTTTTTTTAATAAAAAGCCCTACACTTCGTCATGCTTTAGGCTATATATTTTCACGCCATTAAACTTAGGGGGTAAATATTATGAATAAAATCCCTAATGTGGAAAAGAGACTATTAGTTGCTGCCAACATCAAGGAAGCAAGACTGTCAAGGTTTGTCATGTCATGTCATTTTGACATTTGCTATTGATAATTTGACTAATGTAAATAATAAAATAAAATGTTCATAGTTTTATGCGAATAAAGTCGCACGGGAACAGCTAGTTAATAATAAAATAACAAAGACGTCCCTAATCTTTGTCAGCTACGCATTCGTAAACTGGATAGATTTAATCTTTGACAGAATGTTTTAAAGTTAAAGTGAAGTTTTTAAGATTAAAAATAAAAAAAAAAACTGTATAGACTTGTATATTTGCTATTATTTAACTATTCTTAATTATAAAATTGTTTTTTTTTTATTGTTTAGTTTATGTTAACTAAGTATAAGTATAATAAAGGTTTTTCTTTCAAGTAGACATTGATTTATTAGTACACTCGGGGTGAATGTTTCGGAGTCAATTTAGGCAGGCCTAAACGACAGATTTACGCCCCTCATATCTCAATCTCAGACAAAGCCTATTCTTTACTTACTAAATTAAGTACACGCAACTAAATTACAACACGTATATACTCTTGAAAATTCTGCCCGACTGACAGGCGGGTAATGTTCTTCGTGAATACATCCGTGCAGTTTTATTTGTTGATTTTACAATGGCTTGACGCGTATTCTTCTATATTCCGGGCGAAGTCGAAAAATTTCATACAAAAACCTCTTGTCTTAAGGTTTTGTGACAACCCTACTCGAAAATCATATAATATAATATTATAAACGCGAAAGTTTAGATGGATGGATGTTTGTAGCCTATATGGCTGAACGGATTTCTATAAAATTTCTATGATATTCTGGAAGAACATACAGGGTACATGCTTTTGTTTTTTTTTATTCCAGGCGGACGGAGTCGCAGGCTAAAGCTAGTGTCATCATAAATATTGATTACCTACAGTAATTATTGAATACGTTTATAATTTACGTTAAAACATTTCACATGTTCCACGCTCCAGGGTTACCAACCTTTCATCGTAATTCCACAAGAACTTTGTTTGCAACAAACTTTGAACGGTTAATTGTATATTCATTTATAAGAATTTAAATTATATTAAGTAATATTATAATTAAGAGAAAGCGAAAGTTGTGTTTCGTTTAATTTTCTTTGCTATAAATCTATTACAAACAAAATGTTTTATATTCTGTTCAACAATTGTTAAACGAAAAAAACAAAACCAAATAGTTCCCTCTCTTTCTTCTTTTAACTTCCACAGCTCTATCTCTCTCTCTCTCTCTCTCTCTCTCTCTCTCACACACACACACACACACACACACACTCTTTGCACTATAAAAGTATATACTTTTGTTTTCTTTTTATTATTTAATTCAATTTACGAAGGTAACATAAATTATTTTACGACAGATAGAAAATAAATCTAAGGTCCAACTAAGTTGTATTTAGTATTAAGTTATCGAAGTAATCAGAGTTTTTAAGGTTAATAATTAGAACGTTTAGGCAACGATGGAAAGTAATATAAACTTTTCTAATATCTGTTTTAGCAAACGTAGGTATAGAACAATTTATCTTTACTTATCAGAGCTGCCGGAAAGTTGTAGAACAAAAGGAATAAATTTCTCCACGTTAACAAGAAACATGTCTTTTACACTTATTGAAAAACTTATTGTCATCTCTTTTCTTCCATAGACAATGAGAGAGAAAAATGATGTTTTGTACAGACAGCGAACCTTTATGAATCAACGAGTCAGTTTCCTTTTTTTTATGAATAAGAATCTGAAGAATCGTCAAAAGAATTTTGATTTGATCATTGGGTATATTTTGTAGCAGGCGTTCCCTACCTAAAAATATTATAATGCGGTCATATACAACAATACATAGCAATTAACTCAGTATGATATCTTACTCCAAGCAACCGTGATACCACAAATAGCAGGGACTCTTCTGAATTACAATATCATTTATCATAAATACGGTACCCTACTGTCAGATTTGTAGGTTATAATTCCATTGCAGTATTTTGTTCTTTTCAAGGTTCTTAACACATTATTTTAATTGTTAAGTTTACTAACAAAGAAAAGAGCTACAAACATTTTTTAATTTTCCTTAAAAAATGTACTAGAAAAAGTTTTCAGTAATAAAATTTTGTTTTATAGCTGTTCCCGTGCGGTTACATCAGCATATTATTAAAGCTTTATTTTATTTTTTTTTATCTATAAAATTTTCAAATGACAAAACTCAAATGCACAAATGACAACCAAAGTTTAACCATTACCTAATAATTACCATTACAACGACAATCTTGCTTCTTTACTGCTATTGGCTTGTAGTTTGTGTCCCTTTCTCGCATAACATTTTATTCTAATTTATTCATTCCCTTAATTAAATAGCGTGAAAATATAAATTCTAAAACGTGTCGTAAGTATAGGGCTTTACAAAAAAAAATCTTTAAAAACATGCTGTAATTCCTCACGTTCTAAATAAAGTGTGTGTTTATGTTTTATTATACTTAGTAAAGTATACTAGTCTATTTCTATATTAGTACATGTTAGTAAGTAAATGTAACATAACTCCAATATTATGTTACAATTTTCCCAGTTCCTTAAACTGTGAACACCATCCATCATGCGCGACGGAAGGATTCTCAGATATCCAAGTTAACCCGATTTCCTCACTAATGGCATGTACGTAACCGTAAAAAAATAAAATGTGTTCACGTTTTGGAAGTGAATAATGGATTCTTTAATGTAATCTAAATTTTTAACCAAAAAAAACAATAAAGCATACAATATTTGTATTTAAACTTTTAAACACTTCGAAATTTATAATTTCAATTATTATTTAGTTTATTTAATTATTATATTGAGCGCACTTGACCGCTATTAATAATTATAACTTAATAAAAAAGTTTCAGGAGAAAAATATAGTATAACACAACGCCATCTAGCAACTATTTGCGACACTAAAATTGTAAGGATGTTCATTTAAAACAAACGCATCATGTACAATAATTTATTTCAACATTTACGTACAAATCTATCGTCTCGGCCCCGGGGCGGAGGGAGGAGTGTCAATACGAACTGTGAACACCCTGTATGCACAATACTCCATTAACGCCAAGCCCAGTGGATATATGACCTTATGCGGATGTCCCATTTGTGGCGCCAAAAAATAAGCAAAAAGCGCAGCTCCCGCTGTATACCAGCCCCACATATAACCGTGATCAAAAGAATAGAAACATAAAGAGACAATGTTGCAAGCAATCATTAAATTCCCCATTTCAGGGTTGTCCTGTTGCGTGATTGCCAACGCAAAGGGCAAAATTCCCGAAGCCAAATGTAAAGCGCACATCGCACTATTCCCTCGGTATAAATCCGCCATTAGACACGGCAATGGAAGATATCTCGACGCTTTGTAGCTGATGATATATGCAGGGCCGAAATCATTGTTGAATTTGCCACCTATGAAAAAAAAATACAAATAATAATTCCCCGAAATAATCATCTATAATCATCCAAAACAAATACAAATAATAAGAGCCCGACTGTAGAACATTTTCTATAATTGCAATATTAAAAAACCATTTTTAATGTTTAGAATCATAGATGTTCTATTTATAATCTATATCTTGCTCTCTTATTTAAAAACGTATTAGGCTTTAAAATCACTTTACTGTTTGAAAGTTGCGACACTAACGACACATTTATAATTGCTTTTATTAAATTTGCTGAAATGTGAACTCACTTTGATAATGTAAGAATCCTACCACACCGTGCACAAAGAGATTGACATGCATTCCTGGATGAGAGTAAGTGTTATATCGATGTGTGGTTCCCCTTGCAGCGACGCAGGACAGAACGACGTGGGCAATAGCAGCATTAACGTCATCTTCTTGGCCCATAATAAGTTAATAATGTAAAGTAAATCTAAACTTTCATCATTATATTATAATAATAACAAAAATTGACCTGTGTCATTTGTCAAAAAAAGAAAAGTTTATCACAAGATGAATGTTTTTTGGAAAAAGTTTCAATATTTTTAATTATTTTTAATCTGTGGTATACCATTTATTCCGTTTATATTGTTAAATAATTTCGGTAATAACTATCTTTATTTTAACAACCTTGTTAAAAAATATCTGTTTATTATTATTGTAACTCTTTATGGAAACGTAGTGGCCGCTTCACACATGGCCAGTACAGTTAGACAGATACAGATGCGACGGCCAATCATAAATTGCTCAGTGTTGTCACTATGCCAGTTATTTGTCAGTCCAGTTATTAAGCGCTATTGATTAACTGTACTGGCTAAGTGTGAA